TGTAGGGGAGTGTTCTTTTTTCAGAAAGAATGTGATGTGCCTTGACAACAGTGGCCATTCACTGTTCCTGTCACACTTTCATTCAGGAAACATTTTGATATTAATGAATAAAAGTAGCTAGAGCACCTATCACAGGTAAAATGGAAATTGTCCAGACAGTGCTATAAACTGTGTGTGTAGATACTATTGGAATTCCTGCTTTTGCTGTTATATTGAAGAAAGTTTTCCTCCGCAGCAGATTTGAGTCACTTGCTTTCTGAGTCACTTCCCTCTGGTGCTAGTACAGGATGTCTCAAGTTGCAGGAAAATTACGGGTTGCATTTCTGCTCCTCCTTGACATCAGTGTCTTGGAATAGTCTGTTGTAAATGTCATCCTTGATAAAAGCCAAAATAAATTATAAAAAGCGTATGAATAAACTTCACAGGAGTTCCTGCAACAACTGAAATTTTTTCAAGACACATTTTGGATATTCACATCTTAAATGAACTTGGTGTAGGTATGGTTTGGGCCAAGTTTACAAAGCATCATTACAGTTTTCTTGTATCTCAATTTTCTGAATCTTTTCTAGGTTGTCCCTCCTAATTCCAGCAGTTAAGTGATACAGCCCAACTTAATACTTTTAAAAAAGATAATCTATATTTAGCATTGCTCCCTAATTCAAACCTTCTGAACCTAAAGAAAGATTTAAATCTGGAAGCTCTTTAGCTTTTAGCACATGAATTTGCCTACAAATAAAAATGTCAGCAAAACATTTATTTTTCACTTTGATTCTGCTTGTATCTGCCTTGCAGATATGTTTATTTGATGTTGTTGGTATATATGTGCATTTGTGTGTATACATATACTTGTTATTAGATGGATGTGAAAATAAACTGAGCTTCATAATAGTGTATATATGAAAGCATGTGTGATCATGTTAAGGGTTCAGACATGAAAACACTACTTTGGGTGGTCATAAGCTGTGATAAGGCCAAATACAGAGTCTCAATTTGTTCAGTGCTTGCTGCGTTGCACAGGAGATGGTTCCTTCCCTCTACATCCATTTCAAAGGGCAGACTTTTCTGAAGTTCAAACCTTCTTATAATATCTGGGATACATTAAAAATCAGTAGTTCTCTTAAAATGTTGAAATGAGTTCTGGGAAATACTATAAAACTGACATCTTTGCATGAGAAAGATGCAGGATATTGTCCACTTTTTTTTTAAATCTGCTATGCATGCAAGGCAGAATGACCTGTTACTGAGAGGGCTAAAAATCCCGTTGTGTGCCCTGACCTAAACTGTGCCCCTCCCGGTAAATCTGTGCTTGTGCTGTTTGGGTACTGTCTGTTTAGGTGTGCTAGCTTTTGTATTGTTTAAAATATTTGTTGCTCTGTATTTCTTGGATATTTCAAACGTCAGTGTGGGATGAATAAGACAATAATCTTTCTCCCTTGTCTGCAGGGTGTTGGGTGAGTTATTGTCTTCTGAACAATAGAGCAAACATTTGAACATTACAATGGTCTCCTCCCCCCCCCCCAATACAGAACATTGCATTGCCTGTGGTGTGTCAGCAAGCCTGGCGCTGCACCCAACACTTTTTTTTTCAGGCCCATGGCCAATGCTTTCAAAATGCTGCTCCGCAGGAAAAACAAACCGACCGACCTCTGAAGTCATGGGATATGGGCTGAGTAAGGCCTGGGTAAAGCTGAAAGAAGCAATTCCCGAATTGCTTTTTGCAGCATAAAGAGCTACACACAGGATGTGGAAAGGGAAGAAGATTTTTGGGTAGGAACTGCGTAGCCTGCACGTATGTGGCATTACTGAGCGAGACTCTTGGATTCGACTTGTGGGAAAATCATCTATTGTCTTAATCTATTGTCTGCTGGAGCCAGCCCTTAAGGCGTTTATTCCGAGCAGGCTCTGCCCTCGTGTGGCTGCGAAGCTCGTTAAGGAGGAAAGGTATGGAGCCACTTGTGCACCCATCCGGCAGAGCAAAAGTGCTTGCTAGGAGCAAGCTGCTTTTGCAAACTAGCCAATGCGTCTCCCGGCCAGTACATGGAGGTGTTTGCTGCTGTAAGGGATTGTCCATAAGCAGACACTCTTTTGGTACTTATTTAAATGAAACTTAAACTGAGGAGGGGGGGAATAAATGGTAAAAGCACTATGAGCAAAATCTCATTTCTTTGACCTGTTCTTGCTAGGTCTCGTCTATGCAAATACCAGGGAACTTCAGAAGGCATTTATTCTTCACTGAATAATAAAACACTTAACCTAGAGGAGGCTTGGATATGTTCTCTAGTTCCTTTTTCTTTCTGAGTCATATACTGTAAATTCCAACACACATCTAAAGGTAAATTTCTGTTTCATCACTGCTTGCTACAGTGAGACCCTACCCAAACTATTGCAAGGCATGAGGTTTGTTCACATTGAGCTCTCTTTGGATTTTGCGTGGGTAATTTCCGTAACTGGTGCCCTATGTTGGGTACTTTTATGAAGCTGTGTTTTGAGCTTCCTTCTGACTGTGTCCAGGTATAGATGATTGGAAAGAAAATAAAGTGAGGCTTTTGTCTAGAACACCTGCAAAACTTACAGACTTCCCTGTGAGTTCGTGGGCATTATTAAAGAACTAGTAAGGACAAAGGGATGTATTTTTTTATTTTTAATAAGACAGACATGTCATAGGGAAGTATGCAATGTACATGAAAATCTGGTTATCGGTTCAGTGGTGAATCAGCTCCAAATTATCTCTGATTGCATGATTGAAAAAACAAAGGGTGCTTTAGAAATTCGCAGTTACTATTTCACTGGATGTCTGCCTGATCTTACTTCCATTTAGAAGATGAGCTTATAGGCACAGGGCTCTTTCTTAAATCCAGAGCATGTTTGCTGGGGACAAGAAGAACAGACCAAGGCGTGAGCTCTCCTAAAAACAGTCTGTCTTAGCCAGAGAGGAATGACAATGATGCTTGTTATACTCCCTTAAAAGGTGATTTATAAACCCTGATCAAGGCTTTTAATGTAAAACTACATTTTTAAATTGTAGAATACCCTATGAGGTGTGTACAAAACCTCCGTCCTGGTACAGGACTTTGAAAATGTTACAAATGTTATGTGAATGCTCACTGATTGTGGTGCTTAAATTAAACTTATTGATCGGTCATCTAGTGAGCGTCAGCGTGTTAATGAAGGCGGCCTGCAGCAATGTGGGCTGTAGGAGAAAGCAGGCGTTCATCTTACGCAGAATGTATAATTGTGTTTGGCAGATAGAGCTTTGAGACTAGTGTGAACCCAGTGATAAACTGGATTAATTTTCTCTTTAAAGAAAGCAGCTAATGTGGCTGAAAAGGAGCTTTCACTCTCACCAATTCATGCAGAGAATCCATGTAGGGAGGATTGCTTAATCCTTTGCAAGACTCCACTTGTCTTAGAATTCTCGGTGTTTTATATATGTGCATGCACATAGTAGATGATACCTTTTATAGAAATGCTTGGCAAGTATTGATTAAATATCAGAAGCTCAGGAGCTGAGGGATGGTCATGCTAACAACTCAGAGGCAGATCTGAGAATGGGAGCAGGAACAGAATGAATTTTTTAAAACCAGAGTTGGTCCTGAAGAAACAGAAAGAGCTGAGGAAGTGTCATGTTGGATGTAATTTTTCCTGTTGTGTGGTGTTTTTTTTTTTTACTTAAAGGTAAACGAAAGGTTAAAGATCTGCTATTTAAATACAAGTATAGGAATAAATTTAGCCTATGTAACTAGACCTTCTTATGCTCGTCAGTAATCTTGCTGTGTAATCACAGGATTGTGTGTTCATTCACACATGTGACTTCCTAGTGCTGCCAGCTCTCACAGTTTTCATCAGTTTCACAATAATTGGTCCAAGAAGCAAGATATTTCATCTCACTTCATTTCACAGAGGAAAAAAAATGTTTTTAGGCTTTCTTCTTGCACAGCAAAAGTTAAGAACAAACCAACTCCACTCTGAAGATTCATACACAAAAGGCAGATTTGTGCCCCAGAAATCCCCATGGACTTGGTTGGAAAATTTTTTATTTGGTGTCATAGCAGACCTGGGGGTCCCTGACCTTAATGCCCGTTATTTTCTATACCTCTGATCTTTTGGGTCAGTTTTAATTGAGTTTGAACTTACCGTGGTGAGTCTACGTGTTATCAAAAGTTGGAGATGGGCAAAGCCAAGAATCAACCCCTGATTTTGTTCAGTTTTAGCAGGGATGCAGTATAGAAAGAAACTTGGAAAGAAATTGCGAGTTTCACAGTGACTAACGCGGTGCTGGTTGAACATGATGTTTTTCTGCGGCACACCGTCTCCTGGTCCAGGTTTTAGGGAGTTAACATGCGTTTTGGGTCTTACTGGCTAACATTTAGAAGGCTGTGCTTCCCTCTAGTGGTGCAGCTTGGCAATTTCTTCCTTTTTTTTTTTTTTTAATCATGACAAACTGTTTTTGACAATTTATGATTTTTTTTGACGTTGCTATTCAAAGACACTTCACTAGCCTACTTGTACTATGCCTTTCTTAAGGTTAACCCTCTTGTCCCCAGGCTGGTCTCTTATTTCCAGTGCTGAAATGCACACAACGGATGTCATCCAGTGTTAGGGAAGAGACTCCAAGCCTTGTCACGTTGACATAGGAATAAAGCAATGGGCTCTGAAGGTCTTCTGGGTCAAAATACTGCTTATGAATTAAGATAATAAAAGGTGAAGGCAAAACCAAGGAGGTTAGCTGAAATTTTGAGCGCACAGAGGACGTGGGTGCGACTTTAGTTTTGACAGCTCTGGAGTGTGAAGCCATCTGTTCTTCATGCTTAAATATTAGTGTGAAACTAACTGCCCATGTATGTATAGATGTCCCCTTTAATCAGCTGCAATCCAGGAAGCCAAGCTGTTGAGTTTTCTTTGATGCTATGAAGCATCCGGCGAAACCTAAGCTAGCAACACTTGTCAGTGCAGAGATGCGTCCTTAATCTGGCCTCTGACCACCGGCATCTGTCTTTCAGCTTCCTGTTCTGTTTGGCTGTCCGAGGCTCAGACTGAATTTAAGAGAGTGGCTGAAGAAAACGTGACTTTGCCGTGTCACCACCGCCTGGGCCTCCTGGAGCAAGGGAGCCTGGATATTGAGTGGCTGCTGCACATTTCCGAAACAGTACAAAAAGCGGTAGGTTCAGCCATGATTAGCATCTGCTGAGAAAATCATCTTACTTCTATGTTGATGTCAGCAACAGCCATTGATTTTAAAAGACTTATGTGATGATCTTTGCAAATTATTCTCATGAATTAAGCAGTGTTTAGAAAACACAGCTGATTTATTTAGAGAGATTTATGATGTATAAAAGTTATTTGATATTCATACATGTTGTATTGGAACAGGTTGTGTTACAATCAAGTTCTTTTTAAACTAACACTGTTATGTAATCAGTCATCATTGGATAAACTTCAGAATTGCCCTTCAGGTTTTCAAAAATGACCTTGGATTTTGTAGGCTGTTTTTGAAACCTTGGTTTCAGGAAAAAGTACAGTCGTTTAGTACTTATAAAAATCAGGTCTGTAGTAACTTAAATTAGCTAGCCAAAACCAGCCAAAATTAAAGACTGCTTTTGTATATTATGATATAAGCTGATGTCTATTTTGACACTAGTATAAATGCTCCAGTATAAATTTTCTAGCATAAATACAGTTTATGTATCAGTTTCAGACTTGAAATCCAGGTTTAATTTTCCACCCTGCCACAGGCTTCCTGTGTGACCTTTGGCAAGTCACTTAACCATGCAGAACCTTAGTCTGCAGTTCCTGAAAATGCTTTGATTTGTTGTTCCGTATGAAAGTAAAATTACAACTGGCTGATCAGTTACTGTCTGTGCTCCTCAGGTGATCACTTATTCTGGAGGCCATGTTTATGATGACCTGAATGAGGAACAGAAAGGGCGTGTTTCCTTCACATCCAACTTCCTTGCTGGAGATGCATCCTTACAAATCATATCCCTGCAGTCCAGCGATGCGGGGAAGTACATATGTAAGGTTAAAAATGCTGGGCAGTATGAATGGGCTCACATCACCCTGAAGGTTGTAGGTAAGGTCATTTTATTGTTCTTCCAAAGAAAAAGAATTACTAGAATCATTTCCTGTAGAGAGATTTATTTCAGCAGGGTATAAATACAAAACCATCTCACGATCAGGTTTCACCGTCCAACTCCAAATCTGCCTTTGCATTTTTTGGCAAAGGACAGGACATAGGAAGAGCCTGAAGAACTGTTTTGAGGTAAGTATAATCACCTGCAAAATCATATGAACTGTTCTTTCCAAATTATCTCTATGATCTCATCACACAAACTAGACTGATATTCTAGCTTAGCTGGCGATCACCCTGTCCAGATCTCCTGCTGAGGACTCTAAGTTCATGTCCCAGGACCCCAAACTGATCCAAGTCAGTGGAGGTGACAAATAAGCTGCTGGGGTTAGCATTTCTCTTCCCTGATTTCAATTTATTTGTTGGCTTTTTCACATTACACTGTGGAAGAAGTGCTGTGGCCTGCCAGATGCTGTGGGGAGAAGGAAGAAATGGAGAAGTAGAGGGAGGGAAAGGATTTTCTCTATATAGTACCTAGAAGAGGAACACAGTGATACAGCTCCATTAATCAAGTACCTGTGAGGCAAACTGCCCCAGAGTATTATAAAGTGTCATTTCTCTCTCTGAGACAGCCAGCTCTACTTTTTAGACTATGAAGTTGCACACAGTTGCAGCTAAAGTCCCCTAACAAACATCATTAGTGTAATTCCTTAATGCATTCCAGAGAAGGCAGCTCTTGGAAGCTGCTTAAATTACGTACTTTGCCAAAGAAAGGGTTTTCCACCAAGAAAATAGTCTGCTGCATTTGCATGACCTGTCTTCTGTTTCTTCTAGAAAAACCTTCCAAGCCCAAATGCTGGCTGGAAGGGGAGCTGTTGGAAGGAAAGGAACTGTCCTTGCAGTGCCGTTCTGCCTCTGGCACTGCACCCATATCCTACCGATGGCAGCGCATAAATGAGGAAGACAAGAGAGCTGAACATCTCCCGCCTACATCAAGAGTCAGTAAGTCAGGTCATTTCCTCTTAGAGCTCTCGGTACACTCAAAGCCAGATAACCACCCACATGTACATGCACATGTGCCGCCAAGTGCCTGCTTTTTAAACAGGGATCACTTGATGGCAGTGATAGCAATGGTATAGCAGTACCTCTCACTGTGGCAGCTGGACATTGTGGTGTGCTCCACCCTGAACAAGGAAGCGCATGAGGAGTTCTAGTGTTTTGCTGAAGGTTGACAGATGATCTTTTGTGAGGCATCGTTGATTGTTCTTGAAGTGATTCGATCTGGAAGTTCAATTTGTGCTTCTGTGTCCTATCCACTCTTAAGGTTTCTTAGTCTTTTTTGATTAATCCCGGTGTTGCTTTTCCTGTTTCAGACATTTCTAATCCCGGGCAAGTCCTACTGAAGAATCTTACACAGATGAGCACAGGGTTATACCAATGCATTGCCACCAATGAGGCTGGACAAGAAAGCTGTGTTGTTCAGGTGACAGTGCAGCGTAAGTACTGGCACATAGCTAGTATTCGCACCACCATATGAGCAGCGCTGCTTCACAGCTGCCCCATCTCAACTGGTAAACTCTGTGCCACACCTTTGCCCTTTCATACGTGAATCACATGAAGTAGTTCTTATTTATTGCACTTACGGTTTGCACAGCAGTCCTCTGTATAATCTAAAGCGGTAAATACATCATTTGAGCTCAGATGTTTTGGTCTGTAGAAATTTTGATTTTGAGAATGACTAATGAAATACAAGGGAAAAAATGGTGAGTTAGAGGTTCCAGAGTCTCCAGCTTTGAGAAGTACTTCTGGCTGGAGCGATTGCATGAGATTACCCTCAAGTATAAAATCTCTGTGTGGATAGTCCATCGCTCCAATTCCAACTTACTTATCAGTTGCACTTGAGACAGTAAACTATCTAAAGGTAGCTGGAAAGGCTGACTTTGTCATGAAGTAATGTGCGGAATAAAAAGCAACTTTTGATGCAGTTTGGTTTTAATCCAGATTTAATAAATTCTGTCCTGAGCACCAAAGGTTAAAATCAATGTCCTACCTGATTAACCCCATCAAGGGTGTGCATGTCTAGGTATCTGTGTCTTTGCATATACATGCAAGGAGAAAAGTGGTGTTTAGCATCAGCACTGAGGACAAATCCAAACAATACAGTTTAGGAGGTTTTTATGTGCAGCTCTTGGGAGAGATCAGCAGGAGCTGGGACTGCTGTGATAAAAGGCTGCGAATAGCAAAGTCTCTTCTGGGGAGATGCCATAGCTTTGGAATTTTTCTGCCCAGCCAGGCCTGAAATAACTGGAATATGGTCATGTAGCAAGGAAAACCTGTTCGCCTCAGGCATCTGAAGTAAAAGCGTCCAGGCAGCTTTTATGCCAATTGAACTGAATTGGTTTAAAACCTCACTTTGGTTTGCTAAACTCTCCGTAGGGACAAGCCTTGAGGAACCAACTTTCAGCCAAACCCAACCTAACCACTCTTATCAAAATCAGTTGTCGTAAAGTATCAACTAAGGGCCCGTATACACTAGGAAGTGTTCTCTCATTAACTTTGGATTTTGGATGAAAAATGCCTTGCATGTGCACAGTATCATCTTCGTTTCCTCCTTCCTCTCTACCCCCCTCAGGTCACTTTTTTCCCCAGTTGAATAATTCATTCTGCAAGTGGATTGTAATCATTTCAGGATGAGTTGAAGGGGAAAAAAAATACTCATGGGGAAATATTTGTAGTTCAAACACTCTTCTGCCTCTAGGAAACTGCTTGGTGCTTTGTTTCGTATGTGGGTTGTCCTGTTTGTCTCTGTACTTTCTGTGGTTCTGTGCTCTTATGAGAGGGTTTTTTCTCCTCATTTCAATTCTGACCTATAGCTGAAGGCATAGCACTTGTGATCCCACCCTTCCAGAGGTGAATACTTTTCTCACTGTTAGCTCAGGTTTAGAATCAATGCCTGAAGATAAACCGGTTCAACTTCTGTGTGGAGACACACCTAAATAAGTAGACTAATACATTCTGTTCTGATTTATACCCACTGCTATAAGTTGTCATGTGGACTAGAATCTGACCATATGACCCTAGTGAGAGTTTACTAACACGCTTGTTTTCTGGACAACAGACGCACAAAATATCGGCATGATTGCTGGAGCAGTTTGTGGCGTGGTGGTGGGACTCTCCCTCCTTTTCCTGGTGGTGAGGCTGACAATGAGGAGGAAAGAAAAGAAGAGATATGAGGAAGAGGAGGCACCAAATGAAATCAAGTAACGCCTTTTATTTAATCCCCCACCTCTTACCCTCCCTTCTTTCAGTTTCACACATTTTTCACTACAGTTTTAAGTAATCTAGGTATAAGTGTCTTAAAAGATTGTTCTAAAAAGCTTTTAAACTCTCCCTGAAATATCAGTGACAAATTTCTTGACTGTGAGAATCATCTTTGTGAAGACTTTCCAGAAAATTAGATAGATGAAAATGTCTTTTTTTCCCCCCAGGACAAATTAGCATAAAACTCAACAAAATATTCTCTCTCACGCTTGCAATTTCAGCATTTTAAAGCATTTGAATAATCCTCTTCAGTACTAAATTCAACCCGCTTGTCCATTGTGGTTCTGAGAGGTTTGTTGTTGGGTTTTTTTTTTTCTCTTTTCACTTGCAATTTCTGTTGGGAATGCTACAAGGCAGGCAGGTTCTCACAGTCTTTCTTGAGTCTTTTGAACAACTGTGCTTCTGGATTTAGCTCAGGGTGAAAAATCCCCTGAGCTGCTGTGTGCAGAGTTGAGAAGCCTCGCCCTGAGCGGGTGTACCAAGAATGCTGACGCATGTTCTTTGAACTCATCTGTTACGTGCGTGTGAGGTCTGCCACTTAACTCCTGTAAGCAGAGACTGGTCTGTAGCCAATTGAGCCTAACCTTCTCAGGAAGGAAAGTGCTTCCTGAGATATTTCCAGGAATGAGTTTGGGCTGCTTCTGCCCTTGAAGAAACCCCTTGTCTTGTTCCATCCTTATTTCTATTTGTAAAAGACTGCCTTCCCTCATACAACATCTGTGTACCATTAGGCATCTCTGTAATCCATTCAGCAGCTGATTACTCTGCCTGATGGTCAGGTTGCCGGCAAGAAGGTAGTCTCTGCTGATTTCTTCCCTTCCTTTTTTCCTGTTCTCTTTGCTTTCAAATCTTGCATGCCTTTTTATTTTTAGTTTGAGCTTCAGCCTCTTGTATCACCTTTTCATGCATGACTGTTACCTCTTCTCTCTCTCTCTGGGCCCAGTTCTTGCACTTCTTTCACTACCCACTTTTTTTTTTAACTGGAAGAACTGGTCTCAGCTAGTCCTGTCTAGGTGATCTGTCATCATGAGTAAGGATTTCAGAGCAGACAGTTCTATCTGAACTGTTTGCACTGATAGTTGGCATTCATTCCACAGACCTCAAAGCCGCGCACAAAGAGCCAGTTGTGTGCAGCATGTATTCTAAATCCATTTGACCAATAGTTCTGCAGGGCAATAGGGAGTTCAGTCCACAAAGTTATGTAGCACAGAATTCAGAAAAGCCTGTACCTTGCTCAAACAGCTAGGCAAACCTGCCCTGGTGATTTGCAGCTTCAATAAGCAACTGCTTATTGCAGCAGCAATTCAGTCTGTTAAAATGTGTGTTTCTGTTCTCATGGTATTTGAGCCCTGTCATCTGTTTGATTGCAGAGAAGATGCAGAGGCACCCAAGGCCCATCTCGTCAAGCCCAGTTCCTCTTCCTCTGGTTCCAGGAGCTCGCGCTCAGGTTCCTCCTCAACCAGGTCAACAGCCAACAGTGCCTCTCGCAGCCAACGGACTTTGTCAACGGAAGCTACTCCCCATCTAACTCCTCCCCAGTACAGCCAGAGGGAGACAGAAGGAAAAGAAATTGAGCCAAAGAAAGTCGACTACACTAACCTAATGAAAATGGGAGCAACGCTGGTCATGGTGCCTGCCCAAAGCCGAGCGTTCCAGACTGTGTGACTGCTCACCAGCCATCTGGAGACTCCTGCTGTCCAGAAACACTTCACATAACACCAGCCACATAGGAATTGTTATATTAGCTAGTAATCTTCCTGGTCAGCTTAATTTTAATCACTTGTGATTATTCACACCACAAGAAGCCCTCCCACTCAACTCTTTCTTACATCTTCTGGCACTGAGGTTCTGATAAAGAATTTTTTTTTTTCTGAAGAAAGATACACTCGAGGGAAAAGGGAGCCTTCTTTTTAAATTATCTTTTTTGGAAATGGAACACTGAGCATTTTAAAACTACAACAGCTAAGCGCTGTACAAATGAAATGAAGTCAAACCTCAGGATTTTTTAAAAGGGATCAACAGAGACATAAAGACGCATAATATTCCAGAGAGGTTTTGTGGGGAGGGAAGTGTCTCTTGTACTGGTTTGGGAGAACTTTCTCAAAGATGCATTGTCTTATCTGAAGATTTTGAGGCAGACTCTCTGCTGAGGGTAGTCTGGTGTTCAGTCTCAAAGGGAACTGACAGATGTTTCACGTTTTCTGCATTCAGTCTTCTAGTGAAATACTTTTGGAGGCTGTAACTGAAGTGGAAATGAAAGGATCACTCAAAAAGGTGAGATTCAGTATTAAGGCATGTGTCTGAACTGACCTCTGTACTAAAGAGAAAGGACCCTTTATGTAAAGGAAACAGAGGTGCTTTAATTGCCAGAATAAACTTAATGATGCACCCAGAGAGATGCACGGCCAGGAGCCTGACTCTGCTTTTATGGTCAGCACTGGAAAGCTGCAGTAACTCCACAGGAGTGGTATCTGTGGCAAATGAGCCTTAGTGTAATAAGAATTGGGCACTGAATCCAGAATGAAGGCAGTACCTCAAAAAGTGAGGGCCGCTAATCTACCAAAAAGCCTTGACGAAGCATTCGGAAGATACCTTTGCTATCGCCAGGTTGTGAATTCACCAGTTTTGGGGTGAGCCATGCTGTAGAAGCCTTATGGAGAGCTCTTCCCAAGACTGAACGAACAGCATTCTTGAGCTGACCTTCAGGCATCCAGGTAAGACTGAAGGATAGAGCGACAGAGCACATAGTGAGGAAAATACACCAGGGATAGGTAAACAAGCACAATGCTGCTTCCGTTAGAAAGTATTTGTGTGCAGTGTCCCATTTGTACACCAAATGCTGGGCCACGTGCTATTGTTGAGGCTTAAACCTTAGAATGACTCTTAAAAAATTGCAAGAATCATAAAAATATTTTCTGTGATTAAATGAGCCAGAATAAACATTTCCAAGGAATATGAAGTCTTAACTTCAAGTTGAAGGCCAATAGGAAACGATGGGAGATAGGGACAGGCTTCCTCTGGAGGCAGATGCTTGCATAATTCTGTCATTTATATTTTCCTCTGAAGGACTTGGCTCTGACCACTGCTACACACAAGACACTGAACTTGTAGGTTCTAGATTCCTGTATTCCTGAACTGATGATTTTCTATTACAGAAAATAAGGTGGGTTTTTTTTTCCTTTGAGGGAGGGAAGGTTTTCTTCAATTTGTGGAATGAGTCTACAGGAGATGGATCAGCACAGAAGAACCACAAATCTATAATTCTTTCACTCCAGGGACTGTAATTAATCTCCTTTTCTGACTGAGACCCAGAATTCTAGCTTCTTGCTTGAGATCTTAGACAATCTGATCAAAGCCAAGCCCTGCTTGGGCTACTTCCTTATGGGAAATAGTTTTCAAACTTGCCTGATACTATCTGAGAACTTCTCTTCCTAGGAGCAGTCACCCATTTTCATCACATGTACCAAAATTTCGCTTGCTTTCTCTATCCCAGAGTCAACCTAGCCACCCTTGGCAGGGCAGAGTACTAATCTGTTGTGCAGGGGAGGCAGTCTTGAGTCACAGATTTAAACAAAGGAGACATCTGGTATTAGGTGTTTGATAAGCTTCTACTTTTGTGATAGCTCCTGGTGTTGGATACTGTGTGATTTTACCTAGACAGTTTCCCTGGATACTCCAGAGGTATGTTCCTGGATCAGCTGTGTTTTGGTGGATTTGTTAGTGGCTGTCACTGCTTGGAAGCAGCAGCTGTCAGTGTCTGTGATTCCTCTACAGTTGCTCTTTTCCTGGACCGTGAAGGCTTAGGCACTCCAAAGCGCTTACAAGGTACTCCAGAGCTGGGAAAGTCCCGAAGAGCATGAGTAGGACTGCTAAAGTAGTTTGAGGCTTCTTCTATGGTTGCTTAATGTGCTTAATGTTACCTGTGTTGCATCTGAGGATACTTACTCTATGCATATAAAAACAGGAATGCTTTTCTCAGTAAAGAATACATGCCTGAGCAACCAGAAGCTTATTACCACAAAATAAGGGTAACAATTCAAACGGTTGAGCTGGCTACAGTCCGAGTACCAAATGCTGTAGGTTAGCTTTGAGTCACAGGCCAGACTTGCAATTAGCAAGGAGGAGGATGCTCTGTCTACAGCCTAGAGGCCACTCGCTGCTGGCTAGGAGAATTTGCCCAGCCTGCTCCTGGCAGTCTCTTTCCTGGAGGCCGTTGGGCATAGGCTGCAGGACAGATCAGCCGTGGTAGCCTCTGGTCTCCAACTCTCCTGGAGCAGAGAAGTCACTCCTTGTCATATGAGCTATCTGACTGCATAGGACAAAAGGTTTATGGACCTTGGGGAAAAGAAGTTAGAAGCAATTGCTGAAGCCTGGTGTGTGTGTGATCATTCCCGGCTGTTCCTAGCCCTGTTGGGAAGCAGGTGCTATGCATGCCCGCTGTCCGGGCATGTGCAGACTGCCCTGTATACAAACCGTGTCAGGAGAAGCACCGTGGCCATCTTCTGCCATGGAACAAAGATGCAGAGAGATGTGTGGCCCTGGTTAGAGAGTGTGGGCACTACGGTGATTTAAAATCAGTAAGTCTGAAACGCTGCGATTCTTTTCAGACCACACATTGGTGATCTTACAGGTGAATACAAAGTCAATTCTGCACTTCAGTTGCTAGCATGAAGCCCAAAGGGAAATGTTCATTACTCAAAGGAAATACGAGAAAGAGATCATTTCAAAGGCATTCTATTTTCAAAGGGACATTTTCTGAGCTCCAGATGATACTATCAGGAGTTGCACAAGGGAAGCAAATGAACCATAAGCCAAACTGTATTTTGTAAAATAGTGTACTTAAAGCATTTACTGTCCTATACCAGTTATTACTAGTGTGATTAAATGCATACAATGTTATGTAGCTTTCTTTTGTTTCTCAGCAGCTAAACTAAGCTTACATCTCTTCTACCTGCTATAATTGGTGTACTTGTACTGTGTCTGAACAACTCAGAGGGAAGCAAATATTTATTATTGATTCCTTTGAATCAATGATTTCGTAATTTTTTTTTTGTTTGGTTGTTTTATAATAAATGTGCTGCAGCTTAAGTGCTACAGCTCAACTAAACTTGTACTAATGCTCCATCTTCTATGGTATGATGCGTTACATGCTGTCAAGCTGAATCCAAGGAAAAAAGTACAGAGTCAAAAATACCATTTTTAAGCTAACAAGGACTATGTGCATATTTGCATAGAAAGTGTGGGGAAGCTGGTCTTTTTCCTGGGTATTTTAGTCTAAATATTTTGGTCTAAATTATGTGACATGGTATGAAATATGTGAAACCTTGGGTGTATTGAAGTAAATGGTGTTTTGACTTCCATGCAGCTATTTCACCTGAGATATTTTGGCTGAGGGTGTAGATGCTTCAAGCTCATATGGTAAATAGTGCCAGTGCAGACACAGCACAGATACAAACCTCTGGTGACATTGCCCTCCTACTCCTGCATCTGCGACCTTACTTCTGATCCACCCGGTGCGTTTCAGTTCATCTCCCGAACTGGGCGTGAGATGACAATGAAACCTTGAACAACTAAGAGCTGTGTTCAGACGGTTTAGATCATCTCTGCAGATAAACATTTTGAACTAGCTAACAGGAATCTCTGGTCAGGGAGATGTAGGTGGAATTTAGGATAACTAAACATAACTGTGGTTGATTTCTCTTGCAGTGCTTCAGCCTTCTTTCCCCGGGGGTGTTTTGCACAGAGGTCTCCCAACATCAGCAATCTTCTTCACTGAAATCTGGGAGTAAAAATTGCAACATAATTGCACAGTATTTAAAACAAAACACAGTGACAACACAGAGGTCTCATAGGTGCGTCCTTCTATCCCTGATTCATGAGGAAACGCTATTACTGGCTCTCTCCTGAGTTGACGACATCCAAAATCCTGATTAGGCGATATACATTTTGAGAGGGGTTGTGCAATTGCGTACTTTTGTACAGTATCAGGAATCTTGGGTTATTTTTAACCTGGATCAGTTTGTACTGACACAGTGAAGGGGTAAACACAGTGGGAAGGGGAAGGGACTGCCTTGGAAATGTGTGATTTTCAAACTTCAACCTGGACGTGCAGATGCAAGTGTTTTATAAATAACAAATGCTGCTGTTGTGAATAGGAAGCATGTCTTTGATAATCTCCGCTCTCTTCCCAGTTCTGTTTTAAATGCTTAAAGGAGAAGCAGTGCTTGATCTCTAATGTACTAAATTAGCTTCAAAAAGTAACGTTGGAATTCATCATTGAAAAAAACTCCACACAGAATACTTGTCAGTGTCCAGCCTGCTGGACCTTCATTTTTCTGGTATACAGTAAATGAGCTACTTTTGTCCAGTATGTTAACAGCCTTTAATTTCTAATGTAATGAGTCATTTGCCAAACTGTCTTCCTCCGTGCACTGACTCACTGTTGTTTTAGGCTGCCTTCCCTTGCTATCAGTCTGCTGTGCGAAGTATGGTTGCACATCTAAATGTCACTATTTAATTTCAAGGTGCAGGTAGTGCTATTCTTAGGTCCTACTGAAATTCTGCCCATGATTTAAAAAAACAAAACAAAAAAGAAAGCAAAGGCAATCCCTTGCTAACAGCACGGGTCCCGTGAGACTTGGTGTGCGATTTATTCAGTGCAAGTT